CTCAGTTTTTAACATATGTGTGAAATATTAACTGTGTTTGGGTCAAAGTACTTTACGATGTTACAGATAGGAACTAAGGAATAATAACATAGGAAATAAGAAATGTGGAAACAAAAATGTTGAATCACAATACGATTAAATGGTAAGGCATCAGGTGGGGGGCTGAAGTAAGTTCAAATCCAAAACAGAGACCACGGGGCTAGTAGACACTTCACGTTAGAAGCACAGCTAGGTGTCTACTCCCTGAGAACCAAAATGCCACCAGATACAATGAACAAACCCTCAGAGATAGAACATTCGAACATTTTATGGGAAGAAAACGGCCCACGTACTCTATAGACAATACAATTTCCTTCAAGGAAAACTACAGCTATAAGGGCTTTTGGTCTAAGAAGTTTTGAGTGTGTGCAAAAGATACCTCTGCATACTAGGGAGAGGGGGACAACCCACACATTTAGCTTCGTTATTAAAGGTTGTTACTCAGACTTGCCAGTTGATGACCAAGGAAGTAAGACTTCCACTAGAAGGGCTGCCCAGGTTGGAAAGCTGAGAGCAATCATGGCCACCTCTTACAAGCAAATAAAAGTCTGTAGTAACTTAATTAGGATCTCTCAGTCTTTAATCCTTCAGGGCTGTGAAGCAGAAGAGCAACTCCGTTCAGGGACTCTTTGCTAAACACCATGTTTCCTTTGGGCACAGGCTATGACATCTGCACCACTGTAGAACTGAACAGGGAATACAAGCAATGCCATACAACAGCACGACCACTTCCAAGGCTCACAGCAAAGCAGCTGATTATTGTATGAGAATCATATTTGGCCAATATGTCAGTGCCAGAAATGAAAGCGGGAAGAGAATTCTCGATTCAGAAAACATAATCTAATAAACTCTTCAGCTGAGAGTTTATTTATTCAGAGAGAAAACAACAATGACAATAACAGCATATTCTATCTGCTTACCTTGTAAGTACAGTTCTGAGTTTTGACATTTGTTGTCTCATTTTGTCTTACAATATCCCCCAGAAGCTTGACTGGCTTACTAACCCCAGTTTGCAGATAAAGATTGCAGCTTAGAGATATTAAATATCTTCAAATCTCTCTGGCCATAAGATCTAAAATTGCATTAAAAAATCTAAGAGACAGAGTTAGGACTCAAATCCATGTGTCCGAGGCTTATAATCACTATTCTGTATGATGGGCATGCAATTAAAGAAGACCTGCCTCAAACATTTTCTGTATGAACTGAGGCAAGTCCTTTCACATCTATAAACTAGGGACAATGTTTGCTGTCATTTTTTCTACAAATGTCACAAAGAACAAATTTGAGCCTGTTGCTGTGAAATAATTTAGCAAATGAAAGCATACTAGGGAGTGTTTTATCCATCAATATTTTTATCCATCGATATTTTTATCCAATTAACTTTTCAAAATGCGTTTATGTGCTCATTGAAACTGAAGTACTTCAATGACGATTGAGAAAGTTCTACCTA